AAAACTGGAAAAAGCAAAAGATCACATTATTTTCTTCTGAAATTTAATTTGAAATAATCATTCATGAATCCAGAAAGTTTAGAAGTAGCGAAGATCCATGATTTAGGGCTGCTCACAAGTTGGGGAATAGATCACTTCATGTGTGCAGTTTTCTTTTTTTGGTTGTGGGGGTACTTAGCAAGATAGAAAATAAGAAAATTTACACCAATACATAACAAGGTAAGTTTCAAATATTACTGCCACAGATGGGGTTCAAGCAACAAAACTAAGCCTCAATGATGAAGTACGGTGGGGAAATGAACGTCTAGCAAAATAAGAGTCCAAGAAGATGAGGAAAAATACCTCTTATGCATCTGAGAAATCTGTGACCACTCTTCATCAAAATTGTCATCCAAATTCTTAGAAGTGTCTAAATGTTTTGGTGACCTTCCTGAACCTTTTAGAAGATAAAACAAATTCATGTTAGTTCAGAACACAATTCAAGCAGATATGCAACAGAGTAAAGGTTATATCGCATCCAAAAAGAAATGTAAATATAAATCCTTTCAACAACGTGCACAGACAGCAACAGACAATGCATCTATTTCCATTAGTGTAACATATTGCCCTTAAGCTTTAGGACCAATATTTTATAAATTTTACGCCACATACTCCCCCTCTAATCTTCATTTTTCTTTGCATGCTTCTCATGAATTAAGATGCATTTGCGCAGTAGCAGCAGCAGCATCCAGACTTTTGCATAGCCATTTTATTTATTCTTATGCATCACAAAATCGCATTGGCCTTTAATAATCTGCCAAGACCTGAAAACCTGGACATAATAAAAATATCCTTCTTTTACACCAAACTCCAAGTAAGTTATGTCCTTCTCTAGGCCTTTAATAATCTGTCAAGACCTCCACAGACAACTAACATATATAGAATATTTAGAACAGCAATTGTTTCCAGCTTCCTTCCCCAAATACACAAGATAAGCAATTGCAGATGCCAGAGTCTGCAGCAAGTCAGTAAGAGAAACTTATTTTCCCTAAGCATGAAGTAGAAAAATAACAGCTACAGAAACCTTGCCAGCATGAAACTAGAACATTCTAATGTATGCTCAGTCACTAACTCACTAATCACAATCTTCCAAAGTTCTGCAGCGCTTAAAAAAAGATTCACTCTCATTTAAACAACCTAGCATACTGTAACTTCACAGAAACTATAGTAATCTGCAGCCACCATACTTGTTAAATAGAGGCTCATCTACCCCATGCCCACCTCAACCCTAGCATTTTCAGGCTGCCAAAAAAAGAATATCCATTGTTGAAATGTACTTGTAATCTAATATTCAATAATTCAAAAAATTTATAAAATCCGAGTCACTGATGTAATTCAATAAATGCACTAAATTAGATACCAAACATTTATCTTCTTCCCTAACAAAAACATAAGGATTCCACCTTCTGACAGATTTCAATACCCAACTTCTTCTCGCAATTCAACTTAGGTATGTCTTCACTTCTGGCACATACTAAAACCAAAGCAGAGAAGATTCTACCTTGAATCTAACATCTTTCCACACAACCACAAGCAATGGAAAAATCCCTAATACTGTCATACGGAATTTCAATTCCTAGGGAAAGTTATATTGCTAGTTGCTTCTTATTGGGACTGTTCCATGCAATCCTCAACAGAAATTTCAAGGATTTAATTAAATAAAATAAAAACATTAAAATAAACAATCAACAGAGAAGGATATGTTAACGTTAAGGTTAAATTACAGGGGGAAAACAAAGGACAACAAAAAGAAATCAATTACCATCAGAGGCTTGGGCAATAGATGGATTCTGGGCAACTAGGGCCTAATATAAGGAGAAAACTATCAGTGCATAAAAAAATGAGAGAAGTAAAGACATAGTACTATAGATAAGTATGGTTTCTGTTTGCATAAAATGCAAGAGAACAGTTCTACATTCTCTTCTAAGCCTTTAAACAATTATACCTCTTGCAATTCCAATATAGAATTTAACGTCTCCTTGCAGGAAGTCATAAGATCTGAATATGCTGCACTAACACCCTCATCAGAACCATATAATGAAGACCTGGCTGGCTCCTACAAAAAGTTTATCTCTTTGGCACAAAATTCTTATATGATAAATAAAATGTCATAGTAATCTTGAAAGGGGAATAGGAAAATACCTGGGGTAGCCTGTTTGAACTTGAATATGGCTTCTGAACTAAGACTCTAAGCTCAAGAATCTTGTACCAGAGTGCCTTCAGGAAAAACAAAAATATATGATTACAAACTGAGCAAAGGACGGAAAACGTCCATTGAACTATATTCATATTATGGCAACAACTACAATTGAAAGCACTTACAAAAGAACTAACCAAAAAAAAAAAAAAAATCCGTGTTACTGTAATAAGAAAGAAATGGGTCGCTCAAAATAATAATTTAAAAAAGGAAAAGGATCCGGGAAAAAGGTTTAAGTAATAGGAAAATAGTTAATCATTACTCAATGAAATAATTTATATCAATTTAAACCCCCCCCCCAAAAAAAAAAAAAAACACACGCACGTATGTCAGGAAATTAGTTAGTTGACATCATACCTTCTGGTGTTTTACAGCTTGACCTTTAAGGAGATCTTCATCTTTATGACGCTTCAAATTCTTTAAAGTATCTCTGAAAGTAGAAAAAGAATTTTCCATGCATCAGAATTTATGCTCCTAAAGATAAAACTGGAACAACAAAATGATTCCACCATGACCATGACCAGAGTCTAATATAGAGATCACAATTGCCTAAGAGAATGAATAATGCATTATCAGGTTGCAACCAAACAGGAATTGTACACGTGCAAAACCACCAATGAGTGTGGTTTACTCTGTTTCTTGGCCATATCCAAGCTCATAAATATAGGAAAAAACACTTTTTGCCAAAAAGATGCATTTTCAAAGAACACAATAAAAACACCAAAGCAAACAATCATCCCCAATACCTTGAGAACTCTCAAAGAAGAAAGACACATTGGTAAATGCAACCCCCTCTCTATATGCAAATCATTTTTAACTTTTTTAAACGAAAAAAAGGAAATTTATTAAAAACAGTTGGAGTTCTTCCATTTTTCAAAAATTGACCCCAAAAAAAAAATCAAAATCACCCTTATTAATATTTTAAGAAGCGCCTAAAATATATATAGAAAGGGAAAGAGTAAAAAAGTACCAGTGTACATCATTATAGAACAGAATAGTGTTTGACGCGGTAAATTTACCCAATCAAAGCTGTGAATCAGAACATAATTGGCCTTACGGTCCATTAGATAATTGATAACTCCAAGAGTTTGAAACCTCATAGTCTAGACAGATACACGGAAGATCATCATGACTAGTAAACATCCAGTATACAATAACAACTACAAAGGGAAGTCTCCAACATCTCAACATCATTTAGAAACTTCAAATCTTGCAAAATAAGTCATTTACATCCATAAAGATGGAAATCTTACTGCTCCTGTCTATGGAGTTCCCTATACTCTTTCTCGAGCTGCTCCATCTCATCATTGTTCCATTTATCTTCCTCCACAGTACCATCTTCGTCATCACAGGTTCCCTCCCCATCATCTTCATACTCCTCCTCGTCGTCGTCGTCATCATAGTCCTCTGCATCAGACTCCACCTACATCAGAAAATAGCCCTCAATCACCCAAAAAAAATCATAAAGATTAGATAGAAGAGGACGAAATTTCCAGCCAATACTTGCCTGTTCACTCTCCATGTCACTGTAACCATCCCAATCAACATCATTGTTTTCTGCTTCTCTGGATCTCTTGCCAGATAACCCCATCTTACAACTAAATGGAAAAAAATCGAACATCAACCAAACATTTAAAGAAAAAAACAACTAATTCAGCCATTTCCTCGTCATAGAGACATTCACAAGTCCCAAACACCAAAAATTACACCAAATACTAAATAATGCCCATTCCAAAATTGCTATAGCTTTTTCACAAGTCAACAAAAATGACACGGCGATAGCTAAAGCCTTCCATGCTGGTTGCTGGGTTCCAGACTTAAGGCACTATCCTAACCACAAATTTGCAACGGTATTTTACTAAAATACAATCGTTCGAGTCACAGTATAAGTATAAGAACATTTTTTTTTCCATAAACATGATCAATATACTTCCGCCTACCTGCTTCCGGGGTCATTCTTAATTAGCAGCGGCTTAACTCCATAAAAGAGCATACATATGAATATTATACCTACTAGTATGGATACAAACCTGATTAAAAGGCTGAAAGAAAACGGTGGAGTTAGCTTAGGCTACGTGGGCGTGCCCCGCGACGAAGAAACAGGGTACCGCTTTGAAGTTTGAAGAAGAAAATGATGGTTTGAGCCTCGTGAAAGCGCTGGTCGCTGGACGCTGGACGCTGGACGCTGTTTGTGCGATGTAGGGGCTCGGGGAGGCCGGTTGCGTGGGAGGGTACCCGCTTTGAGGTTTGAAGAAGAAAATGATGGATTGAGCCTCGTGAAAGCGCTGGACGCTGTTTGTGCGATGTAGGGACTTGGGGAGGCCGATTGTGTGGTTATGGGTCAGCTTAATGGGCCTGAAATTCAGGATTGATAAACAGTTCATGTCAATGTGGGTTTAAGCGACTATTATCATGTAAATGTAGGCAAATAGTTTCTGTTATTTGTACCCAAAAACAAAAGTCTCCGCCATTGAAGTGTTTTACTTTGAACCTTCTATTAGAGTTATTCCTTCCAGCAAATACTAACCTTGAATAGATATAATCCTGTTAGCAAAAAATTTTATTTTAAGCCAAAAAAGGCTATTTTTTATTTTAAAAATTCAATAAGTAAGTATTGACCATTCAAATATATAATATGAAAATGCCAGTACCATATTTCAGCAAATCACTTAGCCTCTTCATTCTTTTAAACAAAGTTGTCATCGATGAATGTCGTCCATCCTATAGTAAATACTATGTTCAACCTTTCTAATTGTGTTGGTATTTTTTTGCCACAAGCTTATTGCACAATTATTTTTTTGTAGTGACTGTGGAAAGTAAAAAATGCAATTAATTATTTTTAATCAAATTCTTTTATATTGATTACACAATTTCTTCTATTCTATATAATGACTTACATCATCCTAAATAGATTAGAACACTTCAAAACCCTATGTAAATGATGCTCGATATATTTTTATTTGAATAAGAAGAAAAATATTCCATAAACATTGTAGAAATGATGTTAAGTAGTTATACTCTCTTAATTTTAAATTAAAAATAAAATATAAAATGCATTGTAAAATAAAACAAGTAAAAAAAGATGAAAAATCAGACTTTGATACCATGTATAAGATAAATTTATGTACATATTTTAAAATGTCAGTGTACCGATTTTTAGACACAGTTATCATTGATAAAAAACAAGTAAAGAGGATTAGAAATTAGGCTTTGACATCTAGAGGTGTTCATGAGCAGGGCTGACTCCTACCCACTGCCCATCACGAAAAATGAGCAGACTGCAAAATGCAATCTACTACCCTAATCATTATGAACAAGGTAAGAGCGGGCTGAGCAAGACGGGCTTCTCTATCCAAGTAATAATACCCTACTAATATTATATGTAAAAAAAAAAAAGCTCTAATTATATCTTATAAATACTATTGTGAATTTCAAATGGATTTCATAATTTCATACCTTAAAATATCCAAAATGAGCCTACATTTTGGTCTTAAAATGTAGAACATAACGTAAGCTAAAATTGATAAGGTTTAAATGTTTATCACCTATATATTGAGGTTATCCTTGTGTTTATGATGAATCTACTTGTATTGGCTAAATAAACTATGATATATGGATCTTGTTGCATTTAAAAATGTATATTTAAAATTACCTTATATGTATAAATATAAAATATGAAATTAAATTATTAAAATTGTGGATTAAAACTACCTCTATTTTTAACTCCAAAGGCTTTGGCTAGAAAAAAGCAAAGATTCAGTTGTGATTATCCTTAACCACAGTTTGAGACTTGTAGCCCCAATAGCCTAGCCTCAAGGTTCTATCAATTTGGTTAAATTAATGAGTAATGGTTTAATAATACACTCTCATAATTATTTGAAAAAAAAAATTGATATCATGAAGAGTGCAAGCAACAAAAAAGGGACAATTTTTCTGGCCAAAATTAAAAAGGATGGTGGTTGAAAAAATAATATTATAATATATCTATTTCTTTTCAAGACAGGCCCAAATGGGAAAGACAGTGGCAACTTGTCCACTACCCGGCTCTCCCAGTGATAAGTCCGGCCTAAAAATGTCTATTTTTGTTCAGCCTCTTTTTGTGGGCCGGGCTAAGTATTTTTTTTGCAGGTTTGAGCGATATAGTGGGCATCCAGACCTCATGAACACCTCTATTGACCTCACGTGTAACACCAATTTATATGCATAAAGATACCGTAGAAGTCTCAATTATAATATTTATGATAAAAAATAAAATCATAATTTTTAAATGCTTACCAATTTTTTTAAAACTAAAGACTTCGATGTAAACATGACGATGATCCGTGATATTGACATTCTCCTTATTTCATGAATTATAATTAAATGCAAAAAAGTGAAAATCATTTCCCTTTAGAACAATTTCACTTTTTTAATTTGAAAAATATAAATATAAGGTGATGTGATATGAGAAAGATAAAATTGTCTTGGATGAGAATGAGTGTTTTATGATTTTGAATTCGTTTTTACTTAAATGATTTTAAGTGGAGCAATTTGGTAACTAATTTTAAGGATAAAAGTACACTCAACAGTTGGAGATGTATTTAGCTGTGCAAATTATTTAGTGACATAATTTTGCACCTCATGTAAACGCACTTTTATATTAAAAAAATTAAAAATAAGAATTTTGCAATAAATTTAGTTTTTCAGATTCAAGCAGAGAATAAAAAACTGGATTGAACTAGGCAGTTCAACCAGTGAACGTGAACCAGCCAGTGGTCTAGTTCAATTTGGGATTAAACTGGAGGGGAAGTTAAATCGGTAGCGAACCGGTCAAACTAGAGTAAAAACCGATTAAAAACCGGTAAAAAACTGGTGTAACCAGTAATAAATTGGTTCGGATAATTATATTGTTATTGGTTCTATTTTTTTTCTCATTTAGCTTCTAATATCTCACCTCTTATAAATTTAAATGAATTTTATAATAATTTTGGCATTAATGATTATTAATTTTAGTTAATGATGACCCATAAAAATCAAAATTCTTAATGTTGTTATATTTTATTTTATTTATAATCAATTATTGTTATATTTCGTTATATTTTGTTATTTTCAATTAAATTATATTATTTTAATATAACTATTTAGACTCTGAGTTGATCTCAGTCCGACAACCGACCCTTAAACTACTATTTCAACCAGTTTAATGTCTGGTATGTTCCTTGGATTCAAGTTTTGAAATAAGAGTAACTGCACATGAGACTATCATAACATAGTCTGCAACAAATCTCTTGCCCCTCAAATAATGTCAGTTTGCTTTTTTGCATTTCAATCTATTGAAGTTCATCACCTCACTTTGCAACCCCCAAACATCCTCCCTCATTTCGCCTACCAAAAACCTCACAATCAAATGAATCAAAACCTAACCCTCATCACCACCCTTTAGGGCGGCATTCTTCAAGCTCCAACTCTCTCTCATGTTCCTGATTTTTCTTCCCTTACTAATTCTTCCCTGCCATGGTTATTAAAAACAATTGAGGTAACTGGGTCACAGCCCTCATTATGAAACTGGAATGTGTTTTTGCTAGGGAGGCTGAAAAATTGGAATTGCTTAAGGATTCGGGCAAGGTTTGTGATCTTGGTTCTAGCAAGGAAAGCATAGAATACATTTTTTGTTTTACTTATTGGGTACTGAGATAGATAAACAGGGATAAAATTAAAAAGCTATTAAATTCTAAATGAAAGTAATAAAATTTAAAGTTTTTCTTAGCATGTGTAAAATATATTAAAGTGACTTATAAATAAAATAAAAAAATAGATCATAGCACATGCTAACTCATATTTTATTGTTGGTCAAGGTTTCATTATGAAAGCCCTCGCATTCCTTGAAGTCTTGAACTTTGGGACGGATTATTAAACTCCGAAGAATCTCTCAAAGAACGCACACGTGCGACCCCCTTTTTTAATTTCTTTATTTAATTAAAATAAAAAGGGCGACACCCCCTAGATTTTGTTCTTTATACCTTCCCCGATGGATCATGTCATGTGCTTCTCCAATAACCCTTCCCGTTTTTCCCTCTGAATAATGTAGTATTAATTGCACAATAGAGTCCAACTTTGCTTCTTCACCATTTTTTATAACCAATAATAGTCGTATATTTTTTTATGCTAAGTGTTTGATTAATTTGAATAAATTAAAAAAATGGGTAAAATAATCCAACGTGTTGATACTATATCGTTAGTTATATCAACATTCTCATATTATCTTTTTGGTAATCTTATTTATAGTTTATCCAGCAATTTAAATCGTAAATAAGGTAATTGGAAAATAATACTAAGAGTGTTGGATACAATAAAAATAAAATTAGGAGTGTTAAATACATCATAAATAAAATTAAAATGCTGAATGATACTTTATGTTAAAAATTAAACTAACTCCTTACACCCTAACTAGTTATATTTAGGATTGCATGAGTTTTTCTTTTGGCTTTTCTGAATCATGTATTATTACCGTATTTCTATTTATAAGTCAGTTGTAGGTAAAAATTTGTTTTATGAATCATCTGTTGGGTAATTAATAAGAATTTTCTAATTTTACCTTTTCACAAGAGGTGTTTGGATGGAAATCAATTTGACTCGATTTAAAAAGAAATGCTTTTTAAAAACACTTTTGTCTAATACTAAATACCCCATAAATACATGAAAAAGATAAAATAAATAAGTGAGAGAAAATAAAAAATATATTTTTAATATCTTTTCTGTGATAATGATAATGTAAAAAATTAACAATTTAATAAATTTTTTTGATTCACAAATACAAATAGTGAAGTGTGTTGTAATTACTCTGCTATAAATAAATTATCTGAAGGTAGAAAAATTATTAAGAGGTTCTAAGAAAGAAATTGAATTATCAAAAACTTATAATAACAAATGATCAGTCTAAACATGTTATCATTCTTTATTCTAAAACTTGTTATTATTCAATTATTAATAAACTTTAAGATAATTAAATTTTATCGTTGAGTGTAATTTTCCCTTTGAAATTTCCCGGACACCATTTAGCCGGTGGGGCGTGTTCCA